CTTTTCCTCCTTTCTTGTCTTCTTAATGACTTTTTGCTCTCTTCATGTATGATGTTCTTGATGTCATCCCACAACTCTTCTGGTCTTCGGTCTTTAGTGTCCAATGCATCAGGGTCCCCTAGAGATCTCCATATGTTTTGGTGACTTTAGTAAGGGTGATGCTTCTCTTCCTAATCACCTTAAAACTAAACAACTAATCACATTATGTGGTAACTGCTGCATCACATCATTGCAAAATTGCCAAATCACTGAGAATTATGACCCAGACAAACTGACCCATATTTTGGGAGGACACAGTTCAATTTCAGTCTATGATATATGCTTTCAATGTTAAACAAGAATAATTGAAAACAAATAGGCTAGATTTTCATCATAATAAAATTAAAGAATGATCTGTTAGTGTTGCATGCATTCCGACTCATAGTAAGCCCTGTAAAATAGAGTAGGACCCCTCCAGAGAGTTCTTTACAGTTCTTTACCATCTTTACAGTTCTGCATCTTCCTCCCTGGGAGTCACTGGTGGGTTTGGACCTCTGACCTTTCAGAAAGCAGCCTAATGCTTAACTCCTGTGCCACCAAGCCTCTTTAAATTAAAGACGAGGAAGAAAAAATGAAGACATAATAATATTAGTAACTTCCATATAAATGTTACCTGTTATGTGTTAGGGTCAATTTTGAGCACTTTCCATTTACTGCTGTTAGAATGCTCATGCTTCTCGGTAAAGTACTGTTTTCATCCCTGCTGTGCAGATAAGGAAACTGAGGGTTTAAGTATTTTGCCTAGTGTTGTGTGGCTGGTAACTGGCATAGTGAGGATTGAGCCTTGCCTCTCTAGTTCAGGGACACACTCTTACTGCTGCATTATGATGCTGCATTTCCTCTATACACAAAAGTAATGATTGGGAAAGTTCACAGCAGCAAAAAGGAATAGGAAGCCCACAAATTGAAATTAAACCAAAAGATGCTTTGCAAGTCTAATAAAATCTACATATTGGCCACATTGACTTTCAAGAAATAGAAAAAATCATGTATAGAATGTTGGTAATGAGAAAGATTATAAGCATAAATACAGGAAAATTTTTGAGAAGTTTTAAGCTAATACTCTGTTAACGTTTATGCTATCACGTTTGAAAATTTGATTTAAAGGATGATTATATTACAAAGCTATAAATTATCAAAGTTGATCAAAGAGGCAGAGAACTTGAATAGAGTAAGAACCATGGGATGTTGAAACAGGAGTCTTAAAGAGTCCAGAGCACAAAGGTTCCAGGCCAACACCATTTCATACGTAAATTCTACCAAATCTATAGGAACAAATGGAAACCTAACAAAATCAACTGGAAAAAGTACTAGAAAGTAGTGAAAGTTCAGAAAGATGGTCAAATACAGCATTAAACATTAAAATCAACATTTTCTCTTGAACCAGTAATAACAGGTTCGAAAAATTATAGTGGATAAAATTATCTTAGCTCATAATAGCAATAAAAATAAGGAATGAAAATAAAATAAAATCTTTACTAAGAAAAACTATAAAAATCGTTGTTGTTGTTAAGAGCCATCAAGTCAGTTTCGGCCCATAGCGACTCTGTATAGGCTTTCCGAGGAGTGACTGGTGAGCTTAAACCACCGACTTTGCAGTTCAAATGTTTTTGCAGTCTGGTGCATTAACCCATAGCATCACACCAGGACTCATACTGAACAATTAATATTACAATGATACAATATTAATGTACTATTGTTAAGTGCCTTCGAATTGGTTTGGACTCTTAGCAACCTGCTAAAGGGTTTCTGAAGAGTGGCTGCCTAGTTTGATCTGCCAGCCTTGTGGTTAGCAGTTCAGTGCTTATTCTACAGTGGCACACTAGGACTGATAGAACAATAATGTAATTTTTGGTTGTATTAAAATGATAGTAGATTAATCGGAATTAATTAGTATTTATCAAAATTGAAGTGGAACCTTGCAAAAATGATTATTAAAGTTATCTATAAGAAAAATGAATCAGAATAGCCAATTTTTTTGGCATGGTGGGGTGAGAGGAAATGAAAGGAATTTTCCCTATCAGACATTAAAACTTATTTTAAAGTTGTATCAATTAAGACCATTAACTGGGTAAATGATCCAAATAGGCAGTGGGACCAAACAGGCAGTCAAGAGATAGACCCAAGTGTGTATATGAATTTAGGAGCACTGATGGCTTAGTACAGTGCATGTTGGGCTGCTTACTGCAAGGTCATCAGTTCAAATCTACCCGGTGCTTTGTGGGAGAAAGAGGATGCTTTCTGCTCCCATGCAGATTTACAGCCTCGGAAACCCTACTTGATGATGGGTCAGAACCAACTTGATGGCATACAATCAGCCAGCTTGCCAGTGTGTTTGGATTTAGTGCATGATACAGATACTTTAGACTTTAGACATCAGGAGACAGCTGTGACTGCTATCAAACTGGACAAGAAATAGTCTTGGTTCCCTAACTCATACCTGAATCAGTTAGGTTACTATGCTATGTAAATGACTTCAATAACATAGAAGCTTATTTTGTTTCATGTTGTATTTCTAGAGTTTCAAGGCTGAAAGGTTGGTTCTGTCATTGTGAACCCATAGCTTTCATTCCAAGTCCAAGGCAATATCTCCAGTTGTCATCCTCTCTAGACAGTTGGAGCCTTCGGAGTGCATGCCCATTCCTTTTTAGGATGTGCTTCCGAAGTGACTGACAGATCACTTCTATTCACATTGTCTTGATCAGAACTAGCCACCTAGTCACATCCCTTCCACAGAAGCTAAGAGTTGTCCATAGCTTGACTGTCCTCATTATTACAGAGGGAGAGAATGGATATTGATGGACAGCAACAGTTTCTACTGTATCTCCTACTCCAAATGAATGAGAAATTTATATAAAAACAAGTTTAGAAGAGTCTAGAAGAAAACATATGTTAATTGTTTATATACTTGCAGTAAGGAAGGCCTGTAGGCAAGGCAGTGAAGGTAGAAATCAATTTAATAGAAATTTATTAATATTAAAAATTTCAGAAAGTAAAATCTTTTAAACAGAGTTAAAGACAGACTACAGACCGGGAAAGATATTCCCAAACATATGTCACAGATTCTCTCCTCAATATCAAAAGAATTATTAAAAACAAATATAGAAGGAATAGCCCTGGTAGAAAACATGGTATGTTCATTGCAGTGTTTTTATAATGGCAAAACATTGGAAATTAACTGTCTATCAGTTGGAAGAAAATACCCACACAGTGAATACTCAGCAGCTATTCACATGAAACTATATATTTTTAAGTCCACAATCTTGTGTCCCTAAAACATTGAGACCAGATATTCGTACATTTTGCTGCTGTGTAAATAAAATATTTGTATAGCACATGGGAGCTTTATAGTATGTGGCATTTGTGCCATGTTTCTTTGGTAAATTGTATATTCATTTTAAACAGTATAAATACAATATAAATAACCTCATGCCATTGAGATCTGGAGAAGGATATCATGTTTGATAAGGTGGAGGGTCAGAGAAAAAGAAGAAGACCCCAGTGAGATGAATTGGCAAAGTGGCAGCATTGATGGACTCGAGTGTGGAAACAGTAGTGAGGTTGGCCCAGGATCGGGCAGTGTTTCGTTCTGCTGTGCATAAGGTCGCTATGAGTTGCTACCGATTAGATAGCACCTAACAAAAACAATGAAAAAAAAACTTAATGGTTTTTAGAGCTGCTTGGATTTGCTTACATATTTCTCAGGGAATGATGTGTCGTATGTTAAGCAGAAAACTGTTACTATTACATGCTGTCAAATCAGTTCTGACTCATGGTGACCTGTATAGGGTTTCCAAGGCT